AACCCGCCACCTTAGGTGTATGTGGCTGGCGCCTTAGCCGGTTGAGCTATAGGCGCCGAGCCCACATGTGGGATTCTTAAAACTCAAGTAAATAGGCCGGGTGCGGCGGCTCACACCTGTAATACTGGCACTTTGGGAGACCAAGGAGTGAGGATCACTTGATGCTAGTAGTTTATGGCCAGCCTGAGCAAGAGCAAGACCCCATATCTACAAAAAAATAGAAAAATTAGCTGGGCATGGTGGTGTGCACCTGAGGCAGAAAGATGGCTTGAGCCCAGGAGTATAAGGTTGCAGTGAGCTACGGTGACACCACTGTACTCTAGCCCGGATGACAGTATTTCAGAAAAGATAAAATAAAGTAAATAGAATGGAAAGAAGATTTCAGGATGTGGAGAATAGTTCAGAGAGAAGGCTGGTTGGGCCAGTTAGAAAAGGCTGGCTCTGAAGCTGTGGGGAACAAAGTTGGCAGAGTCCCCTAATGTCACTATCAAAACCCATCACAGATGAAATAACAATTTTTGCAGATAAAGACTTTGCATAAAAGCAGCATCCGTGGTAAGACTGTGTGCCCATTTGGATGCTTTAGAATGGACGTACATTGATTGGCTTGGTGGCCCCGGTTTCACACCTGGGTGTCTCCTTCTCTTGGGTTCTGCTGAGTCACTAAAGGATGAAGCCCGGGAGTGTCTAAGGAAAGGCACTGCATTAGAAAAGGGGTAAAAGGCGGCACCCATAGCTCTGTGGGTAGGGTGTCAGACACATACACCAAGGCTGGCGGGTTTGAATCCAGCCAGCGCCAGCTCAAAGCAACAATGACAACTGCAATCAAGATAATAACCAGGATGGTGCCTGTGGCTCAGGGGAATAGGGCGCTGGCCCCATATGCCAGAGGTGGGGGGTTCAAACCCAGCCCCAGCCAAAAAAAACTGCAAAAAAAAAAAAAAAAAGAGGCATGATTTCATGAAGTGTGCCACTGGGTTATGAAGATAAATGTCAAGCAAATAAACACTAACAAAGATATTATTACCATCAGTGATAGGTGGTGTATAAGTGCATATCCCACATAAGGGATAAAGCAGGAATCACAGAATAGGAGGCTATTTTAACTCACGCTACTGTAACAAAATACCATACACTGGGGGTCTGAAACAGCAGACATTTATTTCTCACAGTTCTGGAGTCTCCAAGTCCAGGATGGAGGTGCCAGCTGATTGAGTTCTGCTTCCTGGCTTGTAGACAGTTACCTTCTTGCTGTTTCCTTCCATGGCCAAGAAAGCTGAGCTCTGACCTCTCTCCCTCTTCTAAAAAGGGCACTAACCTCATTGTGGAGAGCCCTACCTCTTTAACCTCATCTAAACCAATTACCTCCCAAAGGCTCACCTCAAAATACCATCACACTGAGGTGCAATGAACACATGAATGTGGAGTGATGTATGAATCTGAGGCTTCAGCATACGAATTTGGAGTGACATAAACTTTCAGTTCATAACAGAGGCTTATATACGGGTCATCGTCAAAGTTTTGAGATACACAAAAATCAAGAAACATAAAAAACGGGTGGACAGAAACCAATGAAGCCCTCCCAGCAACACCAATACACCGAGCAAGCTGAAACATGCACAGATGAATCAGAAAGGACCCTATTGACTGTTTCTTGGGAGTCAAATAATGGACCATAACACAGTCTGTCTCAAAACTTTCATAGTGACCTATGTACATACGTACTTACACCAGTCTAATCAAATGACAATAGTCTAATCCAGTGAGAATGGAGAGAAAGGGACAGATTCGAAAGACGTCTTAGAGGAAGAGTTGGCAAGATAGAGTGACAGGCTGGAGTGAAAGAAGGACTCAGAGGTGCTACACGCTTGAGCCTGGTGATGAGAAAAGTGAAATATGGAAATGGAAGGGAAACAGAGGATGGAGGGGAGGGTGAATTCTGCTTTAACCCTGCCAAGTCATCAGAGGAAACAGTTGGGCGGCACCTGTGGCTCAAAGGAGTAGGGCGCCAGCCCTGTATGCCGCAGGTGGAGGGTTCAAACAGTTTTTTCTCACTTGGCAAGGCAGGCCCGACACTTTGAGGGCACCAGGCCGGGGATTCCCATGTGAATGCAGATGAGCCCAGAGCCCTCAGTGTGCAGATAGAGATCCTCAGCCCCACTGCAGCCAATATGTGGCTAGAATATTCCCCTGATGACATCCTGCCTTGAGGAAAAGCAGGGTGCCATCCCTTCAGCTTAGAGTGACAGGAGCCATGCCTGTGCTTGGCATCTGTCTTGCAGAGAGTCCAGCCAGGAGCCTGGTTGGGGTTCCTAAGACAATCACAGCCCATCCTTGAGGGTGAGCCGAGGGTTCCCTCAGTAAATTATCTAATCTGTAGAGCTGAGAGGCTCTGGAGTGAGCAGGAGCAGGGGAGGCCTGGGTGTAGGGTCCCACACCTGTGTGCCTCAACCTGTACAGGGCAAGAGGGATGGTGGAAGTTAAGGCCTCTTCTGTTCCTGGAAAGAACAGGAACATTTTTAAGGATCCTGCTACCTGGTCACCCAGCCCTGACGGTATCCCTTGCCCTCCAGTTCCCCATATCTCCTCTGCTGGAGTTTCTCAAAGGATCACGTGTATCAGAATCACAGGGGAGCGTTTGTCTTCCTCTACTTCTTCTCAAGGCCCAGAATTTCTGAATGTTAGTTCCCAAAGATCTGGTAAGGCAATTTACTTAGAAGTGATCACACCCCCAGATAATCCCAACACACACTGCAGTTTGAGAGTCGCTCC